TTATTTTTTCCAGAAATCAGATGTCCACAGGTGTGTGGACTTAGGTCTGGATCTTTGATTCCATTGATCAATGTATCTGTTTTTATGCCAATATCATGTTGTTTTTATTAGTATATCACTGTAGTAAATCTCTTAAAATTGAGGATGGTGTTACCTCCAGTTCTTTTGTTATTCAAGATTAGTTTTGGCAATACCTGGAATCACTTCTATCATCCTAATTCTACTCGCCTAGATGCTAGCACAAAAATACAAGCATTACCAATAAAGGCAATATGCCTCCACCAGAATCCAGTTACCTTTTTTATAGTACTGGTCCTGAAAAATATAATATTGCTGAAAAACAAAACAAGGAATTCAAAACAATAATTATGAATATGTTCAAGGAATATAAAGAGGTTATAAATAAATCTCTTAATGATGTCCGTGAAACACAAATAGTGGAATGAAATAAGGAAAACAATTCACAAAATGAAAGTAGAATTTATCAAAGAAATAGAATCACTAAAGAAAACCAGTAGAGTGAACCTCCTTCTGACTCCAATTAGGTGTGATAAATTTTACTACGGAAAATTTAAAATGGCTCTAGCCCCAAAGCTAGTTCTAGTCCATAACTGAACACAGTATTTGACATTGACCTATTTTTTCTATATTCTTCTGAATAAGTCACTATTAGATTCTCCCTGCTAAACCCGAATAATAACTAGACTCAAATCCAGCTATGAATCACAGGTCTTGGTATATGCTCAAATTACTATATGAAAATATAAGTCTTAAGTTTCAGGAGCATAAAGGAACATTTGTTTATGCAGATTAACAATCTATCCCCAAGCCATGTAGGCAAGGAACAGCCTTTTCATTTAGTCTATGGTCTAATGTCATAGAACAACTCAATTCGTGGTTCATGATTTAGAGCATAGATAGATAGATAGATAGATAGATAGATAGATAGATAGATAGATTTGTTATTTTCTAAGACAGGAAGAATTTTACTTTGCCTCTGCTATTTTCCCAAACTTAAAGAGACAGCATGAATTAGGGTTATCCTCTTTCTAGCAGTTATTATAAAAACACCCCAAGATCTAAAATGAAATGTGTAGTCTATGTCTGGCCTAGAAATCTGAGAAGAGTGGTACATATATGACTCCTTAGAGACATAATGTAAGTTCTGTTAGAAATTGAGATTTCCCCAACTCAACCTTCCTGTTCCCCCATGTCCTCCTCTCCCCTTCTCTTCTCTACCCCACCACTTTTCCCCAACTCCCTGTCCTCTCCCCATGCTCCCAGTCCACCCAGGAGATCCTGTTCCATTCCCCTTCTCTGGGGTACCATGAATATCTCTCTTAGGGTTCTCCCTGTTTCCTAGACTCTCTGGCTGTGTGGATTGTAGGCTGGCACTCCCCTGATCCATGCCAAAAATCCATATATGAGTGAGTAATACCATGTTTGTCTTTTTGTGACTGGGTTACCTCACTCAGGATGGTTTCTTCTAGTGCCATCCATTTGCCTGCAAATTTCAAGATCCCATTTTTTTCTGTTGAGTAGTACTCCATTGTGTAAATCTACCACATTTTCTATATCCACTCTTAAGTTGAGGGGCATCTAGGTTGTCTCCAGGTTCTGGCTATTAAAAATAATGCTGCTGTGAACATAGTGGAACAGATGCCCTTGTTGTATGAATGTGCATCTTTTGGATATATGCCTAAGAGTGGAATTGCTGGATCTTGTGGTTGAGTCGGAGAAGAATAGATGTGAGCAGGATGAGAGATACCATGATAGAGGGAATCATTATAGGTTTGAGGGGAGATCTGACACTAATGAGATTTCCAGAGATCTACAAGGATAACACCAACTGGCAATCTAACCAATAGTGGAGAGGCTACCTTAAATGCCTTTCCCTGATAATGAGATTGATGATTACCTTGTATGCCATCCTAGAGCCTTCATCCAGTGGTTGATGGAAGCAGAGGCAGACACCCACAGCTAAACACTGAACTGAACTACTGGAAAGCAGTTGCATAGAGGAAGGTGTTATAGGCAAAGGGGTCATGATCAGGTGGGTGAAACCCACAACAACAGCTGACATGAACAAGGGGCAGCTTATGGACCCCCGACTGATGGCTGAGAGGCCAGCATGTTACTAATCCAGACCCCCTGAACGTGGGTGTCAGTGAGGAGGCCTGGGCAATCTTTGGGGCCTCGGGTACCAGATCAGTATTTATCCCTGGCATCCAAATGGACTTTGGGAGCCCATTCCACATGAAGGGATGCTCTCTCAGCCTGGACACATGGAGGAAGGCCTAGGCCCTGCCCCAGACAATATGACAGACTTTGGAGATCCCCCATGAAGGGCCTCACCCTCCCTGGAGAATCGAGTGGGGATTGGGTGGGTGTTGGGGGGGCTAGTGGGGAAGGAGGGGGAGAGGGGAGGGAGTGGGAGCTGGGATTGACATGTGAAGCAAACTTGTTTCTAATTTAAATAAAAATTATAAAATAAAAATGTAAATAAAAAATAAAGAAGTTGAGATTTCTAGCTTCTTTATTGAATCCCTAGGACCATGGTCAAGCTAACCCCAGTGTTAAGAATGATAAATGTGAATAACAATTAGCATTTAAAAAGCTCTGTATAACAAAACCAAAATAAATTCCATTGGATTAAAGTTAGCCATTCATGTTGACATCATTAGAAAACACAAAAGTCACTATTATTATTGGGTATATTTTTATTTTATATAATTTATTTTTAGTAAATATATAAAACATGAGCACCAAATACATGATAATTTCTGCCTCTGCAGAGGAGGTGATGTGGTAGTTGAAAATAAATTTATTAGCCATTAACACTGATTAATTGCAATATAAATCTGCATTTAAAGCAAACATGACAAAGTATTGATATTTGCTAATTTGAAGTGGAGGTAAACAAATGTTTTTCACATCTTTCATAATTTCTTATATTTTTCTTATTTTTCTAGTATATAAAAATACAAAGATAATTACATTATCATTATAGCTGATGATTTTATTACATTTTCTGAACTGGGCAAATCTAGTTCACATTAAACATACAAGGACATAAAGCACCTGAAAAATACAAACAGAAAATTTTATAATATAAACAGCTTTCAACTTTGTGTGTAATTGACAGACTATATATTCTGTATATGACAGAACATATCTGTATTCTGTATTAACAAAAAGTCTGAAAAAGCCAATTGCCATTGGGAAAATATTAGGAAACTCATCCATAGTCAAATGTATCCCCAGGACTAGAATGTTTTACAGCTTAGTCCTAGCTAACTTTTGAAGAATATTTCTAATGTCACTTAAACTATTTCACCAAGTCATTTTTTAAGCTAGTAGAATTGTAATAACAAAGCTTCATAGGGACAGCATATGAAAGAAAAAAATGGCACAACCTGTTGTCTGTTAGTTTGATTAAAAATACAAACAATAATCTAAAAAGCCAGGAGGTGGTGGTTCACACCTTTAACCCCAGCACTGGGGAGGCAGAGGCAGGCAGATCTCTGTGATCTCAAGTCCAACCTGGTCTACAGAGCTAATTCCAGGACTGCTAGGGCTACACAGAGAAACCCTGTCTCGAAAAACCAAAAACCAAAAACCAAAGCCAAAAAAAAAAAAACAACAAAAAGAAAACAAAATAACTAAGAATAATCTAAAAAATGCAATTTCACTTTGAAATGCAAATCCATTTCTAAATGCATTATTGGTAAATAAAATACAGCAATATAATAACTGTTCATTTTACCATGACCCAAGTAGGGTTTATTTCAGAAATACAGGTTTGGTTTGATACTAAATACCTAACTTTCTAAAAAAAATCATACATCAACAAATTAAATGAAAAAAGAAAACATACAATTTTAAAAATGGATATTGAAAAGACATTGATAAAATACAGAAAACATTTAATACTAATGCTATTTAAAAACAGAAATAGGAGAAATTTCTCAACATAGGAGTAACTACTTACCAACAATCAACAGCAAAGTCAAACACGAAACAGTAAAGTTATTTTCATGAAAATTAAAAATAGAACAGGCATGTCTCCCATCATCATTCCACGTCACTGCTGTGAAGAAACCAGCTAGTGAACTACGACTAAGTATAAGCATTAGAAGAAATAAAACGATCTCTATTTACATCTGAAATGATTGTATATATCAAGAAAATCCAAAAATTTCTAATTTAGAATCCAATGTAACCTATAGGATTAAATAAACTCATTGGATAAAAGATAAAAAATATAAAATCTGTAGACTTCCTTTATTGATAAAAATAAAAAGTTACATATAAGGAAGAAAAATACTCGATTTATTACAAAATTTAACAACTGCAAAAATAAATTCCATTAGATATGAATGACCTACATGAAGAATGTAATAAAAAGAATAAAAATATTTCAATGATATGCCAAAAACTCTGGCATGTTAACGATTAATATAACTATTAATGCTATTCTTGTATATAAGAATATATAGAATTCTAATAGGCATCAGACCCTTTTCAAAATATTAATAAAATGCATAGGGTTTTCTTCCAAACTTATGAATGTAGAGGACACATTGTATTAAGAAAAAAAAATAAAAACTTTTGAAAGGAAAGTTGTTATTCCAGTTTTTGAAACTTTTGCTCAGCCACTATGTTTAAAACTCATTTTCACTCAGAAATTTGTAAAAGAATGATCTCTTTTGAAAAGTAATTTCTACACTTTAATATGTGAAAAATGTGTAGTTAAACCCTATGTATATCCATATGAAAAAATAAATTTCAGATAGATAAAAATTTAAATACAATAAAAATTATGAGAAAAGCAAAGTGAATACTGGTGTTACTTAGGTTAGAGATATTTGTCTGAAAAAAGATAGAAAACCAAAATTTTTATAAAAGACATAGACATTTTAAAATTATAAAATTACTTAAAGTTTTTAAAATTGTAAAGTGAACAATACTGTCAATAAAGTCAAAATTATAGTATAATGTAAAATTCATTAACACACGAAATACAAATGATTAAATGTACTTTCATTGTAGACATTCCAACAACTTTATATGGAAAATACCAATTGAATAGATAAAAGAACAAAGGATAGAAATTAGCAAATCACAAAAGAGAAATATCCCAAGTAGAAAAATAAATCTCATTGAGTCAGGTAAACACCAAACAAAATAATCAGGAAAACCATGTAACTTTTTACCAGCCTGCTTTTCAAACATTAAAGACCAGTGAATGCCAACATTGCAATATTTCTTAAAACTCTGTGTGTGTGTGTGCATGTATGCCTACGTAACATTTCTATAGAAATAAGAGCACCTTAATACAATAAAAACTGCAATCTGAGTAAAAAATAACAGAATGGATGCTTTTTGGCACATCTGTGTGTACTCTGTACACGGTTTGAGAAGTGTGAGAGTGAAAGTTGATCAGAAAGTGCATCACCAGCTGGTCAATTGTTAAGACGCTACACTGAACTTTGCATTTGAGAGTGGGGAAAACATCCTAAGATAAATGCCAAGTTTTCAAACTAATTATCTGGAAGAATAAAAAGAGGGAGCAGAAGGCATGTTGCACAGCTTACCTACTTTTGAATTGTCTCAGTGGATCTAAACACTTTTTAGCTTTTTTCTTAGCAACCAATGTACATTTTCAATTTACAAAACAAACAACAAACGTACTAACGTACACGTGGGTCAACTGGAGGCACAATAAGATTTACCCACTGTCCTGAACTTTTGACCTCAAAATTGTTCTAAAAACATAATTTTGAGAACATAAAATATTTTACCTCTATTAGCTCCATAAGTTTTTCAAAGAGCATGATAACTTACGGGGTTTTCACCAAGCCATAGACATAAATGTGAATATCATCATCAAACTTTATGAAGTAGACAGATGGTTTGGCCACCACCTGATGGATAAAAATGCCAGTTCTTTTGGATCCATCGTCTTTGGCGTGTTCCACTTGCTTGCCCACAAGACTGTCGAGCACCTCGCCAGGCTCCTGCTCTGCTGTAGGGAAATAGTAGTTGGAATCTGGAATGATACGCAGGTCACCATCTTTGTAGTCATCCAGCAAGGTGTACATATAGAGGACCGGATCCTTCTCGTAGGTGATGTAAAACCAGGTGTCCATTATGGGGGCTCGCGCCAACACCATGCCCTTCCACTCATCTTTCTTACCATGCTCACCTTCGAACACATGTCCCACTGCTTTTCCAACCAGGGAATCTGCCAGGCGAGTATCAATGCGAGGAGAAGGAACTCTCTCAGGAAGTACTTCTAACGCCAAAACTCTCTTGTCTCTGTGCAGTTCTAGTCCGTACACACTGTCTTTGCCATCATATTTAATTATATACAGAGTGGGCTTCACGGAAACCTGCTCGAGCACAGTCCCCTTCCATTGCTCCACTGGCTCATTGCCTTCTTTCCAGCCGTGTTGAATGCGGCAGCCCACGATGTTCCTATGAGTGAGGAAAGTGGGCTTACGCCGCTGCTTCTTGTGAGTGTGTCTCTTCTTCATCAGGTACGCGGACACACCATCTACCCCAGTAGGAGGCACAGTCGGAGGAGACATGGCTCAAGGCTTAGGTGGTCGAAGCAAAGCAGCTCTTGGCTTAACACGCTGACAAATAGGCGGCACTGCCCAATGGGAGATAGTTTTCTCGATCTGAGAGACTATGATCCGTCCTCCCTTCTTCAGATTTTGTCAGAATCGAGCTGGCCGACTGGGAACGGAGACAGAGAGTGCCTCTCACTAGAGCTTTCTCCTCCTTCAGGGAGGGGTGATTGCAGTAGTGATGGCTAGAGAGAGATGGCGGGCTCCCGGGTTCTGTCCGCGCCTGGCGCCTTCCCTGACTCCCAAACCCAAGTCCCAGTCAGAATCGGTCACTTAGCTGTTGTTGTCAATGCTGCTGAGGCTGCAGAACGGCAGCAGAGAAGACGACGACAGTTAACGTGGACAAGAGATGACAGGGATGGTTGCAACAACGAAAGTGCAGGCAGTGGCACGTCTCCCAGCAGTTTGTGCGGCCTGGTCTTGGCAGCGCTTGTCAGCTTGGCCAATCTGCGGAACTGGGATTTTTGTTGCTTAGGGAATCCTCCTCCTCTGAGCCCGCCCTCTCCTTTCCTCCACCCCTCCCGCTTCCGTCCTGCCTTCCGCTCCTGGGGCAGCCACACTGACACAGGCGCTCTCCTTTACTCTGGCCCCCCCTCCCCCCCAGTTCACTCCCACCAGAGCCAGACAGTAACAGCTCCCCCCTCCCCTGCCGGCTGTCTGCTGCCCAACTGCATACTTCACTGAGGCTCCATCTGCTTTCTATCTTCCAGGAATTCCTCACAAGTAGAAAAAGAAAAGAGAAAAAAGAGAAAGAAAGAAAAAATGCTTGGGGTGGGAGAAACTGTACAAATCTACAGTTCCATTCATTTTTAAGGAATTTGAAACGGGAGTGTGGAAAGGCCTTGCACAGTCCACCATGTTGACTTAAACTCTCCGTTATATTTTCTGCCTGATCGTTCGTCGTAATGATTTTTAATGTTTTTCTAAATGTAAAGGAAATATGCTGGAATTTGATTTCTAAAACTCATAAAAAAACATAAAACTAACTTTAATCACACAAGGTAGGCAAACACCAAACTTTTATTAAGCTGATTCTCTCTTATTAATATATGTGTTCTATGATCTTACACAATTGAGAGTATATTCTATACTCTTAATAGCTTCCTTTGTCATATCATGAGTATTTTTGAACTTATTAAGTACTGTGGAAACGATATTTTTCTTTTTGTTGTTTTGTTTTGATTTTCGTTTTTCGAGACAGAGTTTCTCTGTATGGCCCTGGCTGTTCTGGAACTCAGTCAACATGCCAGGCTGGCCTTGAACTGAGACCTTCTTGTCTCTGCCTTCCCAGTTCTGGGATTAAAGGCATGTGCCACCATGCCTGGCTGGTTACACAATTTTAATAGTTCCCTATATGAACATAAAAACCACAGCTCTTATCTCAAAATAAATAAAAGATAGTTTATTGTAGAGTCAAATATGAGTGACCAAGATGCAAGACTACATATTTAGGTTACTCAAATTCTGTATTCCAATGTGGTAACAGTTTCATGAAGATTTTTGTTGTTGTTTATTCATTATTATCCTGTGTGTGTGTGTGTGTGTGTGTGCACGCGCGCACGTGCTTCTGTGTGTGTGCTTGTGTGTGTGTGTGTGTGTGTGTGTGTGTGTTGGGAGAGACTGAGGCAGAGCCCTTGCATGTGCACAAGTGGAAATCAGAAGATACCATTGTGTAGTGACTGCTCTCCTTCCACTTTTGCTTGAATTTCGTGGATTGAACCTAGGTCCACAGGCTTAGCCAGAAGTGCCTTTGTAAGCTAAGCCTTTTACTTGACTGACCTCATGAAATTTTTATGGCCACAAAACAAAGAGAGCTATAAATCAAGAAACTTTAAAAATACATTGGTGGGAGCCTTGGACAAGTGTGTTACAGCAAACCGGAGAAACCTCTGCAGATACTATCTGATGGCATTCCCTGCCTTTGGGTCAGTGAAAGATGAGGATCTGTGCACACATTCCAAGAGAACTTACCTAACAGCCGGAAGAATGGCAGGTCACAAACAGAGATGAACAATGAATGACCACTTTGACCGGAGGGTTAAGATAGTTCAAGATAATGCGTCTCTGGAACTGCAACAGCGGAACACCTTCATGATAAGTTAATCAGCCATGTATAATGTTCAATGGATGCGTGGCTTTTTTTTTTCTTGGATCTTCAGGTAACACAGTTTCTTTTTAATCCTTCAATGGCTCATCGTTTATCCTAAATGGTCTAAAGCAAAAGACTAAATATTACAACTCTCCTTTTTCATATATGGACTGAATGATTGAGCTTTTCTTTACTTTTTTCTCCTTGAAATCCAAGAGTTGGAGTGGGGGTTCTATTTATTTTTTCATATACTATATTTGACAATATTTTCACCCACTCCAGTCCCTCCCAGATCCTCTCCAAGTCCCTACCTAACATATTATGTGCTCTCTCTCTCTCTCTCTCTCTCTCTCTCTCTCTCTCTCTCTCTCTCAAAAAATCTAAACAAACAAATAAGCAGAAACCAGTAAGAAACACACACAAATATGGAGTGTATTTTATGTTGGCTTGTCCAGAAATATAGTTTATATACTCAGTGAGACTTTATTGGAAAAAACTGGTTTTCTCTTTCCCAGAAGATATCAATTGCAAATAGCTTTTTGGTTAGGGTGGATTTAGTGTCCACCTCCCCTTCTAAGTGCTAAAATTTTGTCAGATCTGAACCAGGTCAGGCCTTATGTGTGCTGTCCTAGTTTTGAGTTCATATGTGTATCAGTACTGCTGTGTCTGGAAGACACAATTTCCTTAAAGGCATCCGCAACCTCAGACCTTTAATAACTTCCCACCCCATCTTCCACATAGGTCCCTGAGCCTTGAGGGGATGGTTTTGATAAAGACACCTCATTTAGGACTTAGTGCTCTAAACTCTCTTTTTGCATATTGTCTAGCTGTGAGTCTCTGTGTTAATCATCAAATATTGCAAGACAAAGCTTCTCTGATGTCAGTTAAGCAATATGGGGACATTGCTATGCTTTGCCAGCAGAGTAATAATATTGGGTTTTACCCTAGGGTCTATGACCTATCTAGTCTCAGGTTCTTGGACACTTTAGCAGTATCAGGCAAGGGTTCCATCTCTTAGAGTGGGCCTGAAATCCAAACAAAAGGTGATTGGTTACTTCCATAACGTCTGGACTGCTACTGTGCCAGAATGATTTATAAGAAAGTCACCATTGCAGGTCTCAGGGTTTATAGTTAGGTGGTATTGTTGATTACTTTTCTTCTCCAGTGGCATGCAAAGTATCTTCCAGCACCATGAATGCTAGTCAGTAAGGGTGAAGCTTTTAGTTGGGCACTAGCTTTTTCTATGTTTAATGACATAACTGAATGCTTTTCTCAGCAATAGCTTTAGCATTAGCCTGTGATGCTTTGGGAGTTTTGTGGGACCACTTTGGCCCACGAACTCAACAAGATGTATCTCATTCCTCATTCTGGAGGTATTACTTGGTGGCATAATATGTCAATTTGGGTCATTTTCTCCACAATAGTATTTAAATTCCTTTCATAAGTAGGCACCTACAGCTAAGCACTGAACCATTCTCACATAACCCAGTTGTGGAGAGGGAGGAGGGATCAGCAAAGGAGCCAAGACCGTGCTGGAGAAACCTGCAGAAACAGTTAACCTGACCTAATGAGAGTATGGAGACCCTAGTCATAAAGCTGGGGAACCAGAATTGGACCAAACCAAGCCCTCTGAATGTGGGTGTCAGCTAGGAGGCCTAGGCAGTATATGGGACCTCTAACACTGGAGACAGAGTTTATCCCTAGAGCACACACGGACTTTGGGAGCCCATTCCCTATAGAAGGATACTAATGTAGCCCAGATACGGGAAGGAGGGCTTGGGCCCTCCACCAAATGATGTGGCAGACTTTGATGGTCCCCCATTGGAGGAACTCAATATCCTTGGGGAATGGGTGGGGGGTGGGTTGGGGGGTTCAGTGAGAAGCATGGGAGGATGGGAGGGCGAGGGAATGTGGGGATTGATATGTAAAATAAGATTGTTTCTAAAATAAAAATTAAAAAATAAATTCCTTTAATATATGTATACATTTTAGGAATCGTCTCTAGTACTAGATTTATCAAAGCCCTTTACTGTTTGTTAGTTGTTCCTCCTCATAGACCCTCCTTCACCCTGCCCTCCCAGCCTCTTGCCCATTTAATCCTATTGTAGTTTCCTCTTTATCTCTTTATAACACTGTATTCTATTCTACCTTACTTGGAAGATCCCCCTCTTCCTGCTTCATTCCTTACTTGCAGCCTGAATTCTATAGTTATTTTAAATGAAACATATACCTAAAGCTTAATGGCTAACATCCATACATAAGAGAAAAAGGCAATATTTGTCTTGTGGGATCTGGGTTATTACACTCAGGATGGCTCTTCCTAGCTCAATCAATTTACCTGTAAATTTCAAATTTTAATTTTTCTGAACAACTGAATATAATATTCCATGGTGTGCATGTACCACATTTTTATTATTCATTCATCAGGTGATCAGGACAAATGTTGCTTACCTGAGTTCCAGCCTACTGGGGCTACTGTGCATCCCTGTAGAGAGATGTTCAGTGGGTAGGTGGGAGTCACAAAAGAAAGGAGATGAACTGGAAGGAAAGGCTGAAAGAGTCAGCAGGGAAGAACTGGAGAGCTTGATCTTCATCAAGAGGCTGAGTTCCAAGACAATGGAGGTGGACTTGAAGGAAGCTGATTGAACTTTTCTACACTGTTTTTTTAAGGAGAATTTAATATCATATGATCTACTAATAAGAGAGCAATGTTAAAAACACAATGAGACAAAATTTTGGCTCCAATTTTACAATGAGAAAAGAAACACATACAGCACACACACACACACACACACACAGAGGAGGGAGGGAGACAGGGAGGAAGGGAGGAAGGAGAACCTGTATATGCATACTCTAAAAGTTAGAAGGTGAATATATATATGAGGTGCCATTATATTCCACAAATACTGTGTCTGAAAATAATTATGGACCAAGTTATATCAAGTTCTTTTTGCTTAGAAAAATATTTGACAGGTGAAAAAAGAAGTCTATTTATTGCACACAAACATTCAAAGAAAACAATTTCTTCCATCCCCTGGTTACATCCTTAAAGCAATTCTTGCTTATAACCTCACATACTGAAATGTTTAAATTAAATTCTAATGCTCTTCTCTAAGATTATGATTCAGATGTTTAGATCACTCACTTTGTTGATTTAAAAGCCTTAAACTTATTGACATAAATATTTATTTTTTGTGTTATCCTTTGGTAAATTAATTACTTCAAAAAGACTTATCACAGAGTTATGTTCAGTCTTTGTTAAATGAGTAAAGTACTTTCACATGCATTGATCCAAATATTCCTTGAACTTTTCAAGCTATTTTACACAGACCTGTGAAATGTCAAGCCCAGGTGACACAAAACCTCCCACAA